TTGTCATCAAGGACCCAGCTTCTTCCCATCTTTCTGACCTAGCATCCTTGAGGTTTTGGAAATGCCTCACAGCTGTTCTCAGGTTGGTTACTACAGGATAATCCTTTTTAATCAGTGGCAAAGGAGAATGGGATGATCATAGTTAGCTTATTCTGCCCTGGCTATGGATGGACCTATGTTCCCTGAGCCAATTGCCATCCCATATCTGAAAACAGTTGGGTTCTATTGGCAAAGAAAAAAGGAGAAATAGCAGTGGGCAGGCAATGAAACTTCTTCACCACAGGAACAAAGATTCTTTTTTTTTTCCTTGCCTGGGGATAATAAAATTTTGGCTGATTTTGGTTAAAAGAATAATTCTTCTTGACTACAATCTATGCTACATTTGGGGAATCAACGTGAGATTTGCAAACCCACATATTCTCATCTTGAATAGGTTTGATGATCTCAAGGGGGAAAAGAAATGAATTCTGTTATACATGTTAGGACAAGGTTTGGGATGCTAATTTGGGCTTCTGATCTTCATAACAGATTGGTAGGTGGAATTCACAGTAAATCTCAAGGATTCTTTTTTAATTCTAGAAATTAATTCCTGCCATTAAAATGTTATATGCAAGTCCCCGGCCATCTGGTACTTCCACATGGTGTGAGCCCCTGTTGTCTCATAGAGTGAATGCCCAACTCCTGAAAAAACTAACCAGGCAGAGTCAAGATGTAGCTCACCCATCCGCTCTGCGTCTTGGCTGTTTCAGATGGAAAATGTTTGATCTCCACATTCACTATAGTCAGCGTGCAAATCAGGGCAGTTGTCCTTTTTTTGTCCCCCACAGGTCTATCATTCCAATGAAGTGACCCAATGCCACTGGGGAGAGAGGGCTGTGGGTTAACACAGGGCACCGACAAGACCCTTCGCTGGCCTAAGTCCAAGATGATGACTACTAAAACAACAAACAGATGGTATGCAGGACAATCGCCAGCCTCATGTGGATGAGCAAGGAGTCAAGGTCCAGCAGGAGGGAGTGGGCACACCGCCAGCAAGTGTTGTTAGATAACACAGCTGTGATTTCAACACCACGTGGATGGATCTGTTCACATTTAAAACTCAGGAAAATCCCAATGTTTGGCCAGGAATCTGTAACGGTGGAAAGGTGCCCATTTTTCCTTCCCCTTGCAAACAGTGTTGGGGTAAAACCTTGTCCTAACATGTATAACAGAAAAAAAAAAGTGGAAGTGAAATTCCCTACCATTAAAACAGTATAACTTTTGCTGGAAACCTGGATGTTAATCCCCCACTACATCTAAAGTTTATTTTACCAAAACATTAGGAGCTTCAAGTGGATTTCAACTCATGGCGCCCACGTGTGCCGGAAAATCATACTCCACTGGATTTTCAAAGGTGAGTTTTTCAGAAGTAGATCACCAGCTCGTTCTTCCAACACCCATCTGGGTGGACTCAAACCACCAATGAGCAGTCAAGTACATTAATCTTTGAAACATCTCAGGACTCCATCTAAAGGTTAAATGAAGCAAGTTTTCCTTAGATATGGAGATGTCCTAAGCTCTAGGATCATAATGGGGTCCTAAAAAGGACCTGCTAGGCAACTAGTTTCTTCTTAGCTGACTTTATTCATTACTCGGGGGAGGGGGGGAATTAATGGTAATATAGGAAGTGCTTTAGGCTGGGAGGTCCAAAGACTAGAGTCCTCAGTTTTGTTCACTAACTTCATAATCTTCAAATCTCTTCAGTAGTAAAATAGGACCACATCACAAGATTATTAAATATTAAATGAGATAAATTATTTGAAACTGCCAAGATTTAGCTTGACAAATGTATTATTTATATATAGGTAAATATTATACTCCAGTCAGCCTCAAGGTGTTTGTAGAGGACAGAAGAATAACAACAAAGTCATTTTTCACCTGCAACAATCTTTGCATTAGGCGATGGAGGCTGGTAGGAATTTTGTGGGCTAGAACTTAATGCACAAGTCCCAAAAAATGTGTGCCAAGTTGGGGACAGGTGTATTTCTTTGTGATTCTAAAATATCAATTGAGCAAGCCACTTAAATTTACACATGCAAATTCACCTACACAGAACTGGCCGTGCCAGCAGTGCAAAACCAACATAAAAGCCATCATGTTCCCTCTCCTAATGGAAGCAGCTGTTCTACAAATGTGGCAGACAGGAATCTACAGTCCCATTTTTCTCCTGACACCATGAAAGAATTCCTGTCTAGCACCATAAAATGGGAAGAAAAAGTAGGACACACTGGAAATATGGTTGAGGGATAGGAAAATTAATTGCTGGTAACCCCATTCTTAAAGTATATTTTTCCAGAGAAATAATGCTATGAATATGGATTCTATACAAACCCATATTAGTTTGAAACAAAACTAATTGCAATTTTAAATATCATGAGCTAGTCTGTCTTTTCTGAGTTGAATTTAGGCACAATTTGCAAAGTTATTTCTATAAGAAAATATAATCTGAGTTTCAAACAACCAATTTATGTTTGAACTTCAGGAGCACAACCTATTTGTTAATATTACCAGTAATTTCTTTCTTTGGATATACTTAATATGCCAAACAAAAAACAAAATGCCAGTGGATGGGATTAAACTCATCTGAAAAATAAATACTAGTGGTATTGGTACTGGTAAGAATTTTATAGGGTAGAACTCAACCTGAAATGAATGTGTTGTATGAACAAATGTGTCTTAACAATTTTAAGCTGCAACATTTTAAGTTATGTTTAATTACTAGCATACAGAATAGCTAACATTCATACATATAGTTAAATATTAACTAATAACTAATTTAACTGATAGGAGCTCTGATGGCATAGTGCCTAAGGCATTTGACTGTTATCCAGAAGGCTGGCAGTTCAAACCTCCCAGCCACTCCTCGGAAGGAAGACTGGGCAATCTACTTCCGTAGAGATATTGCCTCAGAAACCCAAGGAGGGGTTGCTATGAGTCGGATCCGACCGATGTCCAGAGGCATTATTAATATACCCATTTTACTGTTGGAAATTAAGTAATTAGCCCAAGGCCCCATGGGGAGCCTAGGCATTCTGACACCTGACTTTCATTCTTAATGTCTATATTATACTAAACTTTTCTATCCAAAGTTTTAAGTTTTTCATTATTGTCCAAAATAGTCTTTGAAGGATTCAATCCCAAATCACTAGACTTTAGTCTATTTCCCCATAAAATTGTCAGCTAGCATCTCATTTGTAACTCAACTGGCTAAAAAGTTACTTGAGAGCTGGGACTACATAGCTTATTTCCTTTTCATCTCATATGCAGCTCTGCTCACAGTATCATGAATATTGTCAGCTTAGAAAAAGGAATATTTAATTCCTGGCTGTCCATCTATCTACATTGTCATCAATTCTCTATGGTTATAAAAATGGAAAGCATATCTAATATTCATTGTAATGGAAGCAACAGCAATGACACACCTAGGAAAAGATTAAGATATTTTTAGGGACCCAAGGAAGGTCAGCAAGGTCCACTGAGTGGAATCTTCCAATGACCAGAGACAGCCAATCAAGCTGATGGCCTAATCCCAGCCCTGAGTTCTCTGGGCCATGACCTTGAGCACATGGCAGCCCTGGGGTGATTTATGAGGAGGAGATTGCACCAGACCACAACCCCAGGCAACCGAAGGACCGGGCTATCACTTTCAGTAGATGAATAGTAAGTAGCTTAATAGTACTGAAGCATTTTCCAACAATAGAGGCCACTTTGCAAAGGGCTATTTTAAAATATAAAGGATTTTATTTGTAAACACCTGTGTATCAATCTGAACTAAAAGCCAAAAGCAAATTAAGTCAATCTTTTTACCAGCTCATGTCTTGGAAACTTTTTTTACCCAAATTCAAGGACACAAGAACTTGTTCAAATGTCATTGAATTTGATATGGATCACAACGCCTGCATATTTTCAAAACTACACCATCAATAAATAAGCCGGAAAATACCATATACTTGTATCCTGTCTGATGTAACTTGAAGAGTACACACGAGGTACTCAGGCAATGGGCTGGGCGGACATTTCCATTTATAATTCATGACCCACCTTCCAAATTATTATTTTTCAATATAATTAAATATGTTCATTAAATACACTAGTATCCTTTCTTCAAAGATCTGTATCCCTTCCTCATCTACTTTTTATTTTCATAAGAGATGGCTGAAGTTAGCAAGAAACAGCACCAGTATTCATAAGCATTTATTTAGTAATCATTTTTACAAAAAAACAAAGGTAACTTTTTTTAGAAAGGAAATTACCAGATATGAAAATGCATATAAAAGAACTGCAACAAAGTGATTTAAAAACAAACAAACAAAAAAGCACAACTGACAGGAAACTTAATATGCTACACCTCTAAGGAACCTGAATCCAGGCTAGTTGGAAAAAAACACACACCTCTCTACCACCCCAACATACAAATATGTACAGTTTATATAAGCAAAGATTTATAAAACCCACTAGAAGAAAAGGATGAATATACACACCCATATGTATAGACACGCTTTCCTTAAAAAACACGTAACACAGTATTTCTTCATTTTACTCAGCTCAAAGATATTCTTGATCTAAAACTATTTTGTCCCTAATGCTATACATAGGAAATTCATAAAGCAAAAGTTCACATTTTCCCAGAAGCTGCTAATCTAAAGTATTAAATGTGTTTTGTATTTTTTAGAGTAAAATTCACAAACAGATGTGATATGGTACTTGCCATTTAGTTGTAACATTTTCAAAAACAAAATATTAGAGGAATATCAGTGATGAGTAGGTAAACCGTCCTTCCAAATCTTCCCAATATTTACACAGGGAAGAGTGAAAGAGTACACTTGATCTAGATTTATAAAGAATTGTCATTTTCTTCCCACTGAAGAACTGCTCATAAGGAAAAGTTCCAGCAGGGGCACTGCTCTCCAACCAACCAATGCCCTTCCCCAGGGCTCCTGACACACAGGTAGGGGTCTCTTCTACTGGACTCTACAGTTCTCACTGTTCTTGAGGTCAGACGCCTCTGGGCTGGGGACACAGTGGTCTCGCTTGGCTCTCAGGCCCTCCCTGGGGCTGTTAGTGGAACGTCTCTCAGGAAGGTTTCTGACAGAGAGAGATCTTGTGCTGGATTCTCGGATGGCGGCACTTGAGTCTGTTGAGCTCTGCTGAGCAACCTTGACCTGCAACACAAACATCTTTGTTAGAGGTTTATACCACATTAACATTTCTACAACATGAAAAACAAAATACATATCTCACTGAATTTTAAGTTAAATTCTTCCTCTTTAGAAGTTGTTCAGTTTCAGTATTTTCCTTCCCAGAGAACAGGATCCATACCTAACAGAAAAGCTAGGAGGACGCCAGACATGATCTCTGACAAGTCATTTTATAGCCTTCCTTCTACACTTTGATGGCTACAGACTCTCTCCCAAGGCAAGGGTCACATTTTCCAAGCCTAAGGTGAGCTCTTAGAGAACAGAGACTGTTTTATTTACCTGATGTATCCTTGATTGTTGCTGTTGTTCCTTTGCCATCAAATCAGTTCTGACTCACAGTCACCTTATTTGTACAGAACACGGCTCCATAGGGTTTTCAAGGTTTTGACCTTCTGGAAGCAGATTGCCAGGCCTATCTTCCAAAGCACCAATGGGTGGGTTTGAACCACCAATCGTTCAACTAATAGTCGAGTGCTTAACTGTTTGTGTCACCCAGGGACTGTGATATATCCCCAGTGTGTGGAATATGCTTAAATACGTTGTGAACATTCAACAAATCCTGGTGCACTAACTGCGTTCTAAAGTTTTCCCTCAGTGAAAACCCATATCTGCCACCATTTGTTCTAACTGAGCCCCTGCGGTCATTCAAAATGAGTATAATCAAATGAGTCATGCTACCTTCATTGGCTAAAAGCTTTATTATCAACATTTAAAAGACCAAGGACTTGATCCTCACGTGACACTATTTATATGCTTGTTTCCATAGCAGATCTGGATTATGGCAGAAGGGCAGCTATCTAACAATAAAGTCCAGAAAGAACAAATCCTCTCTCTGACTCCTATCCTTTAAATGAAAGAGGCTTCCCAGAAAATGTGAGAATTAAGAAGTATGTGTGAGAGCTGGGTGGTTGGGTAAAGTCAACGTTTTTTTTGAGGTTTAAGTAGTGAAAAAAGATATGGGCTCATGAAAAAGAAAGGGGAACAAGACAAATGGAGTAGAGAAAAGCCTCATTTAACCAAGTAAAATGCAGGAGTGGAACACATTCAAGTAAGAAGAGGGTCTTTAAAAGAAATAAGAAGAAACCTCGTAACAAGGGCTGCTACGTATTCAGCACAGATGCCGAGAAGTAACTATTTGACAGAAAATTCACTGCCTGAGCAAGTGGCTTCCAGTAACCTCCTTCTGAAGCAAAAGAAAAACGAGTGGAAATTATTTTTCCATTTATATTCTTTCCATAGGAAGTATGTGGTTTTAAAAGGCAGTTAAATACTTTTCATTACAGAAAACATAGTCAATCTGGCCAACAGATCAAATTGTGGAAAGCTTGCCTCCCTCTACATCAGATTATATGCAGGACACTGAAAAGGAGCAGCTCTTGAAGAATACGGACTTAATGGAAAATTACCGTCCATGTAAAGTTGAAAGAAAAAAAAAAACCACTTTACTGGTACTTTTTTTCTTTTTTTTTCAAGTAGAATAGTGTTATCAAAGACAGGCTTTTCCCTTGAACCTATGAGATGCAGGAGAGTTGAGTCAAAGCTTCAAGTTCACCATAAGAAACAGGACATCACACAAAGAAAAGAGAACTTGAGCCAGTAAGATTGTTTACTAATCCCAATTAAATGGCCAAAACATACTCCTTCACTTCTTCCCTCTAGATTTGACTCCTCTGATACTAAATTGAGAAAATTATAGTGATCAGAGTTGAAACTGTGGATTTGATCCTCGTATTGGTTAGTCAGCCTACTAGTTGGTGGTGGTGTTAGTAACTGTTGTCAAGTCAGCCTAAAACTTGCAGTGACTCCAAGCATAATGGAACAAAACACTGCCTGGTCCTGAGCCATCCCCATGACTGGCTGCAGACTGACCCACTGTGGTCCACAGGGTTTTCACTGGCTGATTTTAGGAAGTAGGGTAGCCAGGCCTTTCTTCCTCATCTGTCTTCGTCTGGAAGCTCCAATGAAACCTGTTAGGCATCATAACACACAAGCCTCCACTGCCAGGTGCACTGGCCAGGAATCAAATCTTGGCCTCCATCGTGGAAGGCAAGAATTCTATCACTGAATTTATTGGTTATCATCTTGAAGTTCTCCCTACACATCACTCTCTAATCCATCCGTTACTAAGTCCTGTTTTTTGTTCCTTTAAAATGACTCACATTCTCTTCTTTCCTGACTTGTCACCATTCTAGATGCAACCCCATCATTTTATGGCAAAGGACTCCGTAGTCCCATTCTCTCCTACTCTAATTCATCATCTGCACAGTCATCAGAATCACCTTATAACTTACAACTTTCTTGATCACTTCGTGTTTAAGAACACAAAGAGTGGCTCCACATAACCAGATGAGGTAAAATTCACCAAGTATCTGAACGTTTACGGCAGTGAGTACACTCACACTCTAAACATCTGTGGTCACAATGAGGAGAGAGCAAGTTTGTGCATGGTTCAGTGAGAACTTCACTCATAGAAAGAAATGCAAGGCGCTCACTAAACTTCTGACTCATGCTGCGTTGACAACACTCCTGCATTCCATAAAGGGCTGTACAACATGATGCCTGGTCCTCTGGCCAGACCACCTGGCCCAAGTTCAGGAGATCCAGTCGGCACTCAGTCCCTGACTCCCTTGGCCCCCAGCACACTAGGTGCTCCTGGGCTGACTCTTCTCAGAGACATAACAGATGGCAGATGAACCTCATCTAATCTACACTTTACCCATTTTTCTCCTTTAAACTTGTGAGATGTCACTAAAGGTCCTCCTAAATGACCCAGGGGATCGCCTCTCAAAAAATTCAGCCAATCACATCAGAGGAGAGCTCAAAATCTTGAATTTCTAACTAAGAGCTTTAGGAAATGAGATCTTGTTCTTTATTTTTAAAACCGAATGATGAAATATGCTTAACAGATGAGGCAAGCAGTTTACAGGATTCAGAAAATGCTGAATTAAAATTAAAAATCACTAGGCTGGTTTTGAAGAGCTTGAACCTAGTGATAGAGTCTACTACACAGCCTTTCAAGAGCAAGCCCCATTCATTTGCAGGGATACACATAACTGCTTAGCAACTCATACCTGCTGATGCCCAGTGAACTGCCTGTGGCGAATGCACAGAACACAAACCTATGGGAAACCATGGTTACTATTCTGTAGTCAACAGATTCAACAGCAGCGTGGAGAGCAGGCCCCCTAGTGTGCAAAGCTCTTTTTCCTGGATAATACTTTAAAACACCACATAAAAAACGGCTTTTGCCATTAATTCCTCATAAAAGAAGAAAAAGTGACCCTTGTGGTGATTTCGTAAGATGATTTCCTAACATACTTCTAAGCATCTATTATTGCAGTTACATCAGTACAAGATTACTTCAAGCTAAATTAGCAGTTTCATTCTTTCAACAAAAATTTGTGAATGTCAGATGTGTATTAGACACAGGGCACAGGTAAATCATAGGCAAAGGAAGTAACTTCACAGAACTCATGCTGTAAATTAGAAGACAGATATGTAAGTAAGTAATTTTATTAAAACGAGCTACCTTAAGATAACAGAAGCGGTAGCTATGTGTGGTGTTTTCTTCTTTAAGAGAATGAAATATCGGATCTTCACAACTGTGAGACAGGCAGGAATGGATTAGTACTGACTGTGGGGTAAATGGGAGCTCTGGCTGCATAGTGCCTAAGGCATTTGACTGCTAACTAGAAGGCTGGCAGTTCAAACCCACCAACCACTCCTCGGAAGAAGACTGGGCAATCTACTTCCGTAGAGACACTGCCTCGGAAACCCAAGAAGGGGTTGCTGTGAGTCACAATCAACTCAATGGCAGTGAGTTTGGGTTGTTTTTGTGGGGTAAATGGTGGGTAAAAGTCATCCATCTAAGGAAATGGCACAACCTATACCACAATCTAAAGGAACTCTGGTGGCATACTGGGTAAGATACTTGGCTGTTAACCAGAAGGTTAGCAGTTCAAACCCCCAGCCACTTTGTGGAAGGAAGATGAGGCAATCTACTTCCATAAAGATTTATAGCCTTGGAAACCCACTGAGGGCTCACCATGAGTTGGAATCTATTTGATGGCAGTGGATTTTGGTTATACCACAATATAAGTAGTCATAGCAGTACAGTGGTTAAAAGCACTAGCTTGGGAAAAGGATGTGGCAGTCTTCTGTGAAAATTTACATGCTTCACAACTCTATGGGACAGTTGTCCTATAGGAAGGCTATGAGTTGGAATCAACTTGATAGCATGGGGTTATATCAGAATCCAAATGTGACTCTTGTATAGCACTTCAGTGTTTATCTTGAGGTAAATAGCTTTGGTCTAGCTTGGTAGCATCACTCCTTGCAGCATAGCTTACATTAAGGAGAAACAGCAGTTCCCGTGAACATTGGAAAGTCAGGACTTATTCCAGTACACACTCTAGTGTATATTTATATACATACATATATGCAAAGAAAATATATTTTATCCAGGGTATATTTTTGTTGCCAAGACTCAAAATTTAAATCCAAACCAAAGTAAGTAGGCAGTGAGAGAGAGAAGGAGGGAGAGGGAGGGAAAGGGAAGAAGTGTGCATGTTTTTGGTGGCAGGGGGAGGAAGGGGAGAGGTTTTGCACAAATGGTAGAATATTTCTAATATAATGGATGAACCCATTTAATGAATGCAAAGAAATTGCAGACCTCTTTTCCTCATGCCTGAATTAATAAAATTTTATTATAATGCAAATTACAAACAAATATAACACTAGGCCCTTAATCCGTGAGTGGTGCAAATGGTTAATGCACTTGGCTACTAACCAAAAACTGGAGGTTAAGTTGACCCAGAGGTGCCTTGGAAGAGAGAACTGACGATCTATTCCAAAAACTCAGCCACTGAAAACCTTATGGAGCACAGTTCTACTCTGACACACGAGGCTGTCATGAGTTGACTCAAAGGCCACTGATTTAGAAATTCATTAGTGCTTATAATGTTTTTTTCTTCCTAAAAGGAGTTCTGGTGGCGCAGTGCCTAAGGCATTTGACTGCTAACCAGAAGGTTGGTGGTTCAAACCCACTAGCTGCTCTGTGGAAGGAAGATGGGGCAATCTACTTCTGTAAAGATTTACTGCCTCAGAAAACCCATGGCTGTCACTATGAGTTGGAATCAACTTGATGGCAGTCAATTTGGTTTTTTGGCTATAAGTTTTACATACCAACAAAAGCAAATAAATTTGCAGGTCTGTTGTTGTTCTGATGTAGCTAATTACCAGTGTTTTTGTATTCTGATATCCAAAACCCTAATGAGGAGCATGCTTATTCACTCACATATGATTCCTACACTACACGACCAGGGGTTACTACAATTTCGAAGCTTTGTTTGTTGGTTCAGGATAATCAGATGGCACTTAATCATACTCTGATAAATGAGCAATTAAAGTAAAAACACAAAATTTTAAAAATTGTTGAAGCTATTCCGCCAACAACCAGCAATATCCCTGTGGTGCCCAGCTTGAAAAACACTGATATAGTAGACATAGCAAGACTGTGTGGTTGAGAGAGAGTAGGTAATGACGCTGGGAGGGTTAAATGTTTGAGTCTCACTTTCTTCATCCTTTTATAATGCTGCTTACTGTGAGAGTTCAACAAAACGAGAAAATAAAATGTGAGGGTTAAATTATTTACATATGCTTTGCAAACATAAATGGTAGCTGACAATACGGAAAACAGTAATAGGAATAAATATCCATGAGCCCTGATGGGGCAGTGGTTAAGCGCTCAGCTGCTAACCAAAAGGTCAGTGGTTCAAACCTACCAGCTGCTCCATGGGACAAAGATGTGGCAGTCTGTACCTGGAAAGATTACAGCCTAGGAAACCCTATAGGCAGTCTTACTCTGTCCTATAGTGTTGCTGGCAACTGGAATCAACACCGCAGCAATTAGTTAAGCAACTGTTATAGTTTAAATAGCATTTACTAGGCTATTTGCAAGGTATACAGAGGTGACTAAGTTCCTATCCCTATCCCCAACCATTAAAATAGAGAAATCTGTACACAGAGCTCCATTCTTTAGACATCTATTGACACATGTGCTTTTGCCAGAATGTAAATTATTAATAAAAACATAAAGCATAGGCAGCTGGGGGGCAGATGGGTGAGAGTAAAACATGCAAAACAAGCAATGACCAGTGTCTGCAGCCAAAAGGAAAACCACCTTTTCACATCTTTCAACAGTAATGCTTGGAACGTTCTTACAAATCCTTTGAGTTTGGATCTAACAATGCCATTTCCCAAGCAACTATTTATAAGTGGCACGTCTGGTCAAGGACAAGATTGTGTAGCAGGGACAATGCAATGCTTATCCTCAGGCTTGCCCGAAACTCTCATCTCTGCTGACTTATTTACACTCATTGAAAAGAAGGTCAGACTTTGAAGAGTAGGAGCTCTTGAGTCAAAGGGCACACAGTCTGGGCCTCACTCAGATAACACCGCCATTTCCTGCATTCCAAACAGTGTGATAAACGCAGTAGTTTACCTTTTGTGATCTGCTGCCACCAGCTGTTGGTTTGGAGGTCTCAGCAAGATTTTCTTTGTGGAGACTTAATGGGGATGTTACTAACTTCTGTGCAGCAAGGCGGGGGCTGGTTCTGGTGGCCATGGTTGTTCTCCGCAGAATGTATGGGCTTGTCCTTCCTGTTGGGATATCAGAAAAACCTAAAGCCAAAAAAAGTTTACTGTCAGCATGGCTCGATATTAACAGCGATAAGTCCAAATTTATCTGTACTTGAAATGAAATCACCAGCTAAAGTTTTAACAAAGATAAGGGTCACTGTTGTCCTGAGAGTCACCAAATTTTTAAAGTAACAGTGTTTCTCTTGTAAAAAAATAAATAACCACAATGGGAAAAGGGGGGGGAACATTAAAGAGAAATTTTGTTGTTGTTGTTGCTTCTTCTGTGGATGGTTTACTTCACATTTTTCTAATATCTGAAGAACACTAGCAGGCCTTACAGTTAAAATTTTTAAAGTGGGAGAAAGAAGAACAGTAACAAGTACTTCAGGTGGCTTTCCTGGCCAGTTTAGATGACTGCTGTCATTTAGAGACTAGGCTGGAGGAGAGACAGGACCTTAGTGAGAATGATTTCACTCCTGCTGCTCAAAGTCTCCTTCCACAGAGGGAATTGACGTGACTTTTGATGACCTAGAGGATACAGTCACCCCCAGGAATACTGAAAAACAGCATATATCACACAGGCTCTAGAGTAGCACCAATAGCTAACTAAAGCAGTGATTTGGGGCTTTTTTTTTTTTTTTTAATCAGCAATGAGAAAGACAGTGCTAACCATTTTGAGGCTAAAGTTACTAAGAATACTGCTTCTCAAACTATCTATGGCAAAAAAAAAACCCACAAAAAACCAGTTTTGATTTCATTCATGTATGTATATATGTATGTAATTTCCACTCTGTTGATGAATGATAATTTTGTGTAATACAGTAAGAATAAAGCAACAGAAAAGTGACCATGCTGTTGGATGTTGCAACAATGTCAGATTACTCTGAAAATTTCCGAACTCTTACTCCTGATTTCTGCACTTCGTTTTTCACAGACCAATAATAAATGGTTTCTCCCTCTGGTGGCACAGTGAGTAGTTTAAGCATTTGGCTGCTAAACAAAGGGTGGCAGTTCAAACCCACCAGCTGCTCCACAGGAGAAAAGATGAGGCAGTCTGCTTCCATAAAGATTTACAGCCTTGGAAACCCTGTGAGGCAGTTCTACTCTGCCCTATAGGGTGGCTGAGTCAGACACAACTTAATGGCAGTGAGGTTGAGTTTTTTTTTTTTTTTTTGTAGATTGGACCAGGTCCATAGGCCACACTTTGAGAAGCACTGGGTTTAAAAATAAAAAATAAAAAAGACAGAAAGAAAAAGGTAGTAAGTGGCTCTAGCGAGGGAGCCAGCATCATCAATACCATCTCCAGCTCACCCACTACCTTAACGCTAGGGTCAGGTATGACCCAAGCTAGGAAAGCTACAAGGGTGTCCTTGATTCGGGGAGTTTTCAACATAGAAATATCGAGTTCTAAACTGGTATCTGACAGTTATATTTCAAATTTACCAGCTTTTTTTGGAGTTTAACACAAGTAATTAAATCCTAGTTATTCTCTCATGATAGTAAGGGAAGACATATATTTAAATATATATACATAAAACCAATCACTACGCTTCCCAAAGGTCAGTTAGTAATGTTGTACATCAACTTAAAAAATAAACACTTCTCTCTTTTTAAATGTGAATTAACTTTACATTCTGGAGTTTCAACACGGCACAAATAATTTTGTTTTTCAACTATGCATACCTTTCTTTACAACTTCTGGAAGCCCCTCTGGCTCAAATTCAATGTCTTCTGTGTCACCTGCACACTGAACACCACTTCTGGCTGCTTTCCTACTCTTTTTAGAAAAAGTCTCTGGTGTGGATGGCGTTGATTCTCCATCATTCTCCTGAACGCCATTGGACCTCTGCCTCTTGCCTGAAGCCTTATTTTGGCCAGCTGATAACTTCCTTTCAGTAACAGAAGGGAGTGGAGATGGTTCTGGAACAGCTGAATTTGGCAAAGGAGAACTTCGGAGATTATGTTGAGAATGCAGACGAGCAACTTGTGTTTCTAGCATCTCTTTAGCTTTTTCTAAATTCTCATGGCTTATCAGCAGGGCACAGTACTTATCCAAGTATTCATCTGCCTCCTTGGATTTTTCTTCAAGAGTTTCCTTCAGTTCTTTCATCTCAGCCATTAATTCATCTATATTAGCATCCACAATAGTACCTATCAAAAATAAAGTCATCACCAATAAGTAACCTGATGCTTGTCTACTGAACACTGGTCACTGTGAAAAAAAAGATAACATTGCATCTGTTCTTGGGTTGTTGTTGGTTTTTTTGTTTGGTAGGATGAAATACCATATGAAGGTACAAGGAGCCCTGGTGGCACAAATGGTTAAACACTTAGCTGCTAACCAAAAGGCTGGCAGTTCAAACCTACCCCATAGCTCGGCAGGAAAAAGACTAGGTGATCTGCTTCCACAGAGATTACAACCAAGAAACCTCAAATCTACTCCAAACTCCCTTCCAAAAACAGGAAAACCGGTGAGCCACCCTGCCAATCCATGGTCCAAGGGAGGAGTCAGAGGAGCCACTGACCTTCGGACTAAGAGGATTTTACTCTGGTGGAGGAAAGTGACAAGAGAGTTGTCATTTCTTTTTATTTTGCCCACATACCCAAAAATAAATCCCCTATCCCTTCCTTTTAGTTGACTCACAAGGGCTGGCCAAGGAGAACCGGAATCATCTGTCTACAAATTACCAATACCAACTCACATGCTGTTCTGCCTCCGATAAAGAAACTACTTAAATGAACATCCACATGAAAAATGATTCTTGGGACAACTCATTTCCCAAAAGCCAGTTGTTTGTGTGTTTCATAGAGCAGAAGATGTGATAATTCTATTTCAAAATGCAGGCTTCCTTCTGAATCCCCTAATGATCCCAAGCTGAGTATAAAATTCAGAAACTGGAAGATGAATAGCTGCAAAAAATCAGCACTCAGTTATAGAAAACAAAAAACACTCTAATCCACATACACCATGTGCATGTTATTTCACTATTGGAAAATAATGTTGGCTGACTGATCTGCCCCAGTTAACACCCACCTGCTTTCTGCTGCTCTCGTGAAGCTTCCAGATGAGACAGCTCTTTCTGCAACATTTCCTTTTCCCCTTCCAGCTGTTTACAGGATTTGATCAATAGCTTTATTTTCCCCATGGCATGTTCATTTTCCTTCTTTAATTGATTAATACATTTTAGATTGTCCATCTACAAAACAAAAGTAATTCCATTTAAAATCTGGAAATTTCTTGTGATGAACAGACAGCAAAATTATTAAGAAATGATTAAGAATCATGTATTTTAAATGTAAGAATTATTATATTCAGACAAAACTTGCAAAGATGCATGATATCAACAAGTCTTCCAATAAACAATGTGCTTTTGTCACTCCCTTACAAGCATAAATCACAGGCTCTGAAACAATACCCTATAAGTAGCCCACTATATCTGTGGTTCATCAGTGGGACTCAGACGTTCCAGGTAAGGTTCAAAGTGTCCAAAGACATATTCCTGATGGGTCAAGAATTCTCAGTGAGAAAACTGTGTTCCTATTTGTAATCTTGTGTTACCCCACAATTTCAATACCTAATATGGCTTTTGTTCTATAGTGACACCAAGTGAAGGCCAACACTGCAGCTCACAATACAAATTCAAGTTTATGTAGAAAGTGGACAGAATGGTGGGAGAGCTGTGTCAGACACTTCACCGCAGTACAAGTTCTTGGTTCTTATCCATAATTCCAAAATTCAAAGAAGTTCTGAAAATAATTTAGAAGCAAAACCTGACATGATGAGATCTGAAAGCATTTAAATTCTTTATCCCATTTTGTGAGAAGAATATCCATACATATTGCTACAGAAATATGACAGTATTTTAATAAGAAATGTTGCTCCAGACCTCACTGGGATATTATTCAATATATGGCATATGTACTGTATTATGAAATATTTTTAAAAATACAAAATTCCAAAACAATCTAACTCAAAGAATTTTTGACAAGGGATCATGAATATATAAAGGCAGACCAAACAGTTAAAAAAGAAAAACAAGAAAATAATTTGAGCATCATATTCATGAATCAAGTAGATGTTACTATTTATGTGTTTTGTATGCTTCACCTCGAAATATTTATTAACAATGTAGAAGTAACTCTATACTTTCAGACTTTTCTATTTCTGATTCCTACAATAACTGGATTAGATACCCATTTAATTCAATTTCAACAATGCTTATCAGCTGGTACCTGATTAAAGTAATATGGGATCTGGGAGTTCCAGCAAGATGGTGGAATAGGCAGATAAGCGACGAAGACCCTCTGCAACAAAGCAATGAGAAACCAATGGAAACCAGTACAGAAGATGATTTTGGAACCCTGAGCTTTGAAGGGAAGGATAAAGAAGATTAAATATCAACTAGTAGAACTTGAACGAAAGTAAGTAAGAAGACAAATGGAGCTGCAGACTGCCAGCTGTCCTGAGGGCACAGTGATTTTGAATATTTCCCCATCGCAACCTAAAAAGCAGCTCTGCTCACCAAGGCTGCATGGGCAAAGAGTGCATTGGTGCCTGACAATCAGAAGGGAGAACAGTGAGGAAGAGGACAGGCGGACCTGTAGGTTGCTGACAACTGTCTTGGGGGTACAACCATCTTGGATGTTTGCAAGCAGCCGGCACAACCTTCTTAAGTGTGTGCAGGTGGTGTTCTTGCTTGGACTATGACCTGGGAGGGGACCCACCTGCCAAGCAGAGCATGGACAACCACACTAGAGACTGACGACTGGAGAGGCATGATATTCCCTTTGTTACTCTTGTCCCCTGCGTCCTCTTGGTGAACAGGAGTATGACCATCCCCCTGCCTCCACCCACCTTCTTGATGTGTTTGCCCTGGCAGAGCTAGGGTGCTGTGTCCCACACCCCCTGCCCCAGTTTTGTTTTTAAATCATTCTTTTTATCTTCCTTTCTTCCCCCCCTTTTTTTCCTTTCCTTTTCCTGGTTCCCTTCTTTTTTCTTTCTTTTGGTTCTTCCCATCCCTTGTTTTTCCTTTTGCAGTTCTATCTATTATTTTATTCTTGCTCTTTTCTCTCATTCTGCCCTCCCCTCATACTTTTTTTTTTTTTCTTTTTTTCTTATTATGTTTAGTTTATCCTCTTTTTTAATACATTTTGAAAATTTTTCTTGTTATCTAACGCATTTCTTTTCTTTTTTGGCAATTGTTCCTCTTTGTTTATGTGGTTTTGAGTGTTTTGTTCTCTTGTTTTTGTTTTTTGGTGTTTTATTTATTTACTTATTTATTTAGTCTAACTGAGTGGGAGACAGCAATCATTCCCACACAACCCAATCATACTTGCACCTCCTGCAGCTGTACACACTGAGTGAGGGCCACCACTTGCTTTTGCACCAACTGACAAACAATAGACAGCAGCCAATAGCAGCTCAACTCACCTTCATCTGCTCTTTACGAACACCTAACGGAGATCCATGCACACACTCTCATTCTCTATCACACAGGAGATAGGTGGTGAATGCCTAAGTGCTAACAACTAGCGAACAGAGGAGCCCAGCACCCTGCTCACACAGATAAATCAAAACCAAATAAAGGAAAAAACCAAAAAAATAATCTTGTGTGAATCACACCAACATACCATGACAAATTAAACATAAATACAACACTACCACAATGTCTCAGAGAGACCATCACAATCCACAGAAAAAAAGCAAGATAAAGTAGTAGAAACAAGAGATGAGGATATAAACCCAGAAAACAACCCTGAGGAAGAAGGAACATTGGAACTCCCCGAAAAAGAATTCAAAAGAATTATATTTGGGTACCTTAAATGGATTGAGAGATAGATCAAGGAAAACACTGACAAGATCAAGGAAAACACTGACAAAATTAAGAAGAACACAGACAAAACTCTAGAAAAAAAAAATAGAAATGATACAAAAACAAAAAACAGAAGTACAGAAGATTAATGCTAAGATTTCAGAAATAGATGACACATTGAATGGACAAAGGAATAGAATCGAATCAATGGAAAACAGAATTGATGAGATCAAAGACAAATATCTCAATACTACTTTGTTAAGGGATCAATCACACAAAAGATCAAAACATAATGAATTAGTAAGATTCATGTGGGATACCATCAAGAGGAATAACCTATGTGTAATCGGAATTCCAGAACAAGAAGAGAAAGATAAAACCACAGAGAAAATTGTTGAAGATTTGTAGGAAGAGAATTTTCCTAATATGATGAAAGACCAGAATACATCCATTCAAGAAGTTCAACAAACCTCGAATAGGACAGCCCCCAAAAGAAAATTACTAAGACATATCACCAGCAAACTCACCAAAACCAAAGACAAAGAATCCTGAAAGCAGCATGGGAAAAACAAAGTTACCTACAAAGGGCAACTAATAAGACCCTGATTTCTCAGCAGAAACTATGCAGTCAAGAAGGCAATGGGATGATACATACAAAACCCTGAAGGAAAAAAATTTCCAACCAAGAATTATATATCCAGGAAAATTGTCTATCAAATGTGAGGATGAAATGAGGAGGTTTCCAGATAAGCAGAAATTAAGAGAATTTGCTAAAACCAGACCAACTTTACAAAAGATGCCAAAGAGAATCCTTCAGACAGAGAACTAACAACAGCAAACAACTGATGATTAGCATATATGATGACATAACCCAGCCCAGTTATAGAAGTATCCAAAGTAAAATAAGCTTACAAGACTGTAAACTGGGAACCAGAGACATCAATTGGTAAATGAGGACAACTACAAACCAAAAATAGGGAATAAATAGCACAGTTACATAACTTCTAAATGGTGAGAAAGTCAAGAAAATTGCAAACTGGAACAGACTGTTTTAAACTTGGGAAGAAATTCTAAATTACAGAGTAATCTCAAAGAAAGATAATAAACCTTTGCATCAAAATAAAAAAGAGGATAAGCACAAATATTTAGCAAATATTAAACAACAGCAATGAAGGAGATGATAATAACGACTCATAAACAAAATGAGCTCAACACAAAAAATTAGACAGAACAAAGAAGTCAGCAACACCACAAAAAGAACACATAACAAAATTACATCAATAAATTCATACTTGTCAACAATTACACTGAATGTCAATGGATTAAATGCACCACTCAAGAGATGGAGAACTGCAGACTGGATAAGAAAATATGACCCATCAATATGCTATCTGCAAGACACTCACCTTAGACACGAAGACAAAATTAGACTAAAAATCAAAGGTGGGAAAAACATACCAAGGAAATGGCAACCAAAAGAGAGCAGAAGTGGCAATATTAAGTTCTGATAAAATAGACAATAAGACAAAAATGACCATGAGAGACAAGGAAGGACATTTTATAATGATTAAAGGATCAGTTGAACAAGAGGACATAATCATAATAAGTATCTACGCACCCAATGAAAGAGCCCGAAAATACATAAAGTAGACTTTAACAGAAGTGAAAAGAAAAATAGATGACTCCAAAGTAATAGAAATGTTAATACACTACTTTCAATAAAAGATAGAACTGCATATAAACTCAGCAAAGATGCAGAACTAACAATATGATCAACCAGCTTGAACTTACAGACATCTACAGAGCACTTCACCCAACAACACCAAAATGTATATTCTTTTCCAGCACACATGAACATTTTCCAGAATTGGAAACCCAATGGGGGTTGCTATATATCAGAATCAACTACATGGCAACGGGTTTGGGGTTTTATTTTTGTTTTATTGGCAGGTATTTATTTCCTACAATATTATTATACATAAACTCAATAACAATGAGTCAATTCCATTCATAGCAACATTAAAGAACAGAGTAGAATTGCCCCCATAGGGTCACCAAGGCTATAATCTTTATAGAAGCAGATTGCTACATCTTTCTCCCATGGAGCGGCTAGTGGGTCTTAACCACCAAGCTTGTGGTTACTAGCCAAGCACTTAACCACTGCGCTACCAGGCTCCCTTTATTATACACACTGTGTGGTATATTTTATGAAATATTTACAGAAATCAATATATCTTCTCTTTCCAAGGAGCACCATCTTCAGGGTAAATGAGTGTTTTCCTAAAGAAAATGTTATATGATCCTTATATGGAAAGGAAGAGAATACATGCGTGATACATACATGTCCCTAGGCAAGGTATTTTGCCCCACCACTCATTTGTCAGTTTGTTGTACTATGGCGGCTCATATGTTTTTATGATGTTAAAAACTATGCCATTGATATTTTAAATACCAACAGAGTCAGTCATGGTGGACAGGTTTCAGCAGTGCTTGCAGACTTAGACATATTTGGAAGAAAGGACTGGTGATCTACTTTTAAAAATTAGATAATGAAAACCTGATGGAACACAACATCGAGGATGGCTAAGGACCAGGCAGCATTTTGTTCCACTATACACGAGGTCACTGGGAGTCAGAGCCAACTCAATGACAACTAACAACTGTCCCCCAACTTCACAGGAAAGTGGGTTTGGTGACAGCAGTAAACTTAAGAGACTGATCATCCTGCATGTGCCCAGCAGATCATATTCTATGGCTGGAAAGGACTGCTCTAATCTGCTATGTAGCAAGAACTTCAATAGACATTTCATCAGAAAGATATACAGATGACCAACAAGCACATGAAAAGTTGCTTAAGGTTATTAGCCAGTTAGTTGTTTGCTGTCGAATCATAGTGACCCCTCCTTGGATTTCCAAGGCGTTATCACTTCGGAAGCAGATTGCCCAACCTTCCTTCCGAGGAGTGGCTGGTTTGAACAGCCAGTCTTCTGGTTAGCAGTCAAGTGCCTTAGGTAGGGAAATGCAAATCAACACAATGAGATACCACTTTACACCCAATAGGATGGCTGTTATCAGCAAAATGAAAATCAAGTGTTGGTGAGGATGTAATTAAACTGAATACTCATGCATTGATGGTGGGAAAAGTACATCTGCTGTAGAAAAGCTTTCTGGCTTCTCAAAAAGTTAAATACATGGTATCCACTGGTGTCCTGGGACCAATCCACCTATCTACCAGATAGCAAAGGACAACAGTTCATGCTACTCCTGAGCTCTTATCTGTGCTCATGAAGAACCTGTACATAGACTAAGAGGCAGTCATTGGAACAGAAAAAGGGGACACTGCATGGTTTAAAATCAGGAAAAGTATGTGTCAGGGCTATATCCTTTAGCCATATTTATTCAATCTGTTTGCTGAGCAAATAATCTGAGAAAATGTACTATATGAAGAATGTAGCATCAGGATTGGAGACTCATTAACAACCTATAATGTACAGATGACACAACGTTGCTTGTTGAAAGCAAAGAGGACTTGAAGCACTCACTGAAGAATAGCAAAGAGTTCAATATGCATTACACCTCAACATAAAGAAAACAAAAATTCTCACAACTGGACCAATAAGCAGTATCTCATGATAAATTCAGAAAAGATTAATGTTGTCAGGATTTCATTTTACTTGGATCCACAATCAATGTTCATAGAAGCAGCAGTCAAGAAATCAAACAACATTCTGCATTGGGCAGGTCTGTTGTAAAAGACCTCTTTAAATTGTTAAGAAACTAAGATGTAACTTAGTTACAGGGCCCTTCACCCAACAACAACTAAGGTAGGCCTGACCTAAGCCATGGTACAGTCAATCATCTCATATGCTTGCAAAAGCTGGACAATGAATAAGGAAGGCCAAAGAAGAATTATCGTGTTGGCAAAGAATATTGAATATACCACGGACTGCCAGAAGAATGAACAAATTTGTCTTTGAAGAAGTACAGCCAAAACGTTCCTTAGAAGCGAAGATGGCAAGACTTCATCTCATGTACTTTGGACATGTTATCAGGAGGAACCAGTCCCTGGAGAAGGACATCATGCTTGATAAAGTAGAGGATCAGTGAAAACTAGGAAGGCTGTCAACAATATGAATTGACACAGTGCCTGCCAACAATGGGCTCAAACACAGCAACTATGAGGATGGTACAGGACTGGGTAGTGTTTTGTTCTGTTATACACAGGGTTACTATGAATTGGAACCAACTTGATGGCATCTAAGAACAACAGCAAATACATGCTACAACACAGAAGAACCTTAAAAACATTATACTAAGAGAACTAAGTGACATACAAAAGGATACATATCGTATGATCCCACTTACATGAAATATCTAGAGTAGGCAAATGCATAGACACCAAAGTAGATTACTGGTTAACAGGGATTGAAAAGAGGAGGAAATAGAGAGTTATTGCTTAAGTGGTACTGAGTTTCTGTTAATGGTGATGAAAGTTTGGAAACAGGTAGGAGTGATGGTTATACAGCAAGATGAACATAGTTAATGTCACTGAATTGTACAAGTAAAAAATGTTGAAATGACAAATGTTTTGTTACAAATACTGTTATTACAATTACAAAACAAAATACTATTATCTGTATGGAGATCTGGGCATAATGCCTAAGGCATTTGACTGCTAACCAGAAGGATGACGGTTCAAACACACCAGCCACTCCTCAGAAGGAAAACTGGGCAATCATTTCTGTAAATATTTATCGCTTCAGAAACCCAAAGGAGGTCACCATGAGTCAGAATCGACTGGATGGCAGTGAGTTTTCTTTTTATTATTATTATTATTATCTAAATAAACCACTGAAATTCAAGAAATAGTAAAAAATGTATATACCTCGGTTTTCTTCAATTCTTCTAAAATCTGATTGGTGGCTTCTAAAGAATTATTGAGTTCCTCTTTACTGGACTTCAACAGATCCATTTCCAACTTCTGTGAGCTTAGATATTCTTCTTTAGAAGTCAATTTCTCTTGATAAGTCTGGATTTCCACTTCATGCTAGGACAAAAAAAAATGTTACTTTAGCCAGAAGGCACCTGCTGAAACAAATTGCAGGGAAAACAAAATTGCTGTTCCAAAGGCCGTTTCAAATAGTCTTTGCAACTCTCCTATTCTACGTCAAGTTAAAAATGTACTAAGAATTCAAATCAGAAAATAAAATATGTTCAGTTAATCAGGGAACCAAAACAAAACAAAAAACAAACCCACTGCTGTTGATTCTGATTCATTGCGATTCCATGTGTTACAGAATAGAACTGTTCTGCATGGTGTATTCTTGGCTATAATCTTTGTGGAAGGAGACTATCAGGCCTTTCTTCTGCAGCACTACTTGATGGGTTCAAACTGCCAATGTTTAGGTTAGTCATGCAAACCATATGTGCCATCCAGGGAAAGGATAATGAAATTAATATGATGCTACTCTTCTTAAGAGTGTATAAGTTAACAATGCAAAATACTGATCTTGCTAAATATACCTTATTAGTTATTATGGCAGTAGACCTACACTCCAGCTCCCACAGTTACCAAACCGACGTTTTACCTGTTTTTTTGTATCCAGAAGCCAAGTCTGCTGTTTCTTTTCGGCTTGCTGAAGCCGCATCTGATATTCAGCTATTTCTTCTCTCCTCTTGGCCTCTTTCTCTATCTGGTCGTTGCGCACACAATCCAAACTCTTTTTCAATTCACTGTTTTCTAGCATGAGCTCCTTCAATTGAACCTAAACAGAAAAGTAATAAATTCACGGGGCAATAATTAAGAACCTGAGTATCTATCTTTAAGAAATACTAAGTACTGAGGAGGAGAAAAAAAAAAAAAGCTCACAGGCTAGGCAAAATCTCTGTAGAATAGTGATATAATCCTTAGAAATGTATTTACTTAAAATTGTGATTTTATCTCCAGTGACAATGTCCTGTGCTCCAGCCCAACACTGACAAACTAAGATCATGTTCACAGAGACCTACACCAAAAATAAACCAAACTCACTGCCATCAAGTCAATTTTGACTCATAGTGATCTCCACTGGTTTTCCAAGGCAGCGAATCTTTCAGATTGCCCAGTCTTCCTTCTGAGGTGTGGCTAGTGAGTTTGAACTACCAACCTTCTGGTTAGCAGTCAAATGCCTTAGGCACCGTGCCACCAGAGCTCCAAATCTCAACTAAAGAGAAATTTCAATTAAAGCACTCGGAAACCATACCCTCTCCTTTGCTTCCAGGCTCACTTACTTAGTTACCTCCATTGCAATAACTCCTAGAACCTCATCACCAGTTGTACCTGTACATTTAATTCCTAGCAGAATTATTAATTTCCTTCCTTGAACAGCTGAGATTCCATGTTCCCTCACTAAGTTTCCTTCCAAAATGCTCTCAACTCCTCTACCCATCTCTTCCTCCACTCTACAGTGATGGAAAAACCCCAACTCTGGATACATCTGTCTTTTCCATATGTAACACAAAATGCTGGTTTTGGCAGAAGCTTATAGAAACATCTTTTTAAAAAAATTGCCCTGCAGGGAGGTGGGGCAAGATGGCGGACTAGGCAGAAGGATTGCACAGACCCTCTTCAACAAAGAAAAGGGAAACCAATTAACACAGACACAGAA